TATGGGGTTTATTTGTATGTAGCAGATTTTGAGGGTAGATCCGTTTCTACCTCATTACCCTATTTTATTTTCTTTATAACACTCAATACTACCTGGAATCCCTTTATTTCCTTCCCTCCTGTCTGTCTTCCCCAACAGGAGAAAGATTTTGCCAGCCCGGGGACCTTACGTATACTGTTTTCTATTGCAGCATCTGTGCCTAGAACAACACCCGGCACAGTGTGTGTCCAGTATTGTAGTGTGTGGCTGGGTGGGGAGGGGTCACCATCCCAGGTGTGCTGAGTGCAGAACAGGGGTCATTGTCAGAGTCAGTAAGCGGCTTGGACCTGGAGAGAGAGGTCAGAGGAGGAGGGTTCTTCTGATAACAACCACACACCTTCTGTCTGGGGTGACTATTTCTTTCTACCCTTCAGTTGACCATTCTCTTGCAAATGACCTTATCAGTTTAAACTTTCTGTGGTGGCAAAGCACAATTTCTTCACAAAATGATTTTAGAACAACCCACTGGGGATCCAGCTACTAATCACCTACTTACCTAATTAAGGAGAGCACGAATCCCCTGAGCTGTACGAACATTTTCCCAAACCTGCTCAAAGAAAAAACAAAAATGGAGTCTACCTTGTGTAGGCTCCCTGACTACACTAGAGAGGAAATTCTGCCCTCTTCATCTGAAGTAGTACTTCTTTGTACGTGAGGAAAAATGTTGAGAGTATTTTGCATATGTTCAGCACAAGCCCCACTGGAAATTTGTTAATGTAAAAAAGAGTTCTCAAAGGAAGGAACCAGAGGAAAAGATCTTTGTTCTCCTTCTTCCCAGCAAATATCTCCTCACAGGGAAAGAGGAAAACAGAAGAGGTCTGAAGCCCAGTCCCCAACAACCATCCACAGTGTTCCACCTGTGACTGACTTCCTGCACAAGCAGCCAAAACAAAGAAGATAAGAAAATGAAGATCGGGGGCTGGGGATTTAGCTCAGTGGCACAGCGGCTGCCTGGCAAGTGCAAGGTCATGAGTTCGATTCCTGGTACCGGAAAAAAACCAAAAAAACAAAAAAACAAAAAAAAAAAAAAAAAAAAAAGAAAATGGAGATCATAAGGAAAACATTCCTAAAACTCATGTGGAACCAGAAGAGACCTAGAATAGCAAAAGCAATCTTGAGCAACAAAGGAAAGGAAGGTGGCATCACAATCTCTGACTTGAAATTGTACTATAAAGCTACTGTGATAAAATCAGAATGGTCCTGGCAAAAAGCAGACCTGAGGATCAATGGAACAGATTAGAAGATGCAGCCACAACCACAAACACACTCAGTTACCTTATCTTTGACAAAGGGCCAAGCACGTTCACTGGAAGAAAGATAGCCTCTTTAATAAATAGTGCTGGAAAAATTAGCTTTCTGTAGGCTGAAGACTAAAACTAGACCCATGTCTATCACCATGCACTAAAGTAAAGTCAACATGGATCAAAGATCTAAATCTTAAAACAGAAAAACTAAATGTACAGGAAGAGAAAGTTGGGAGAAATCTTGAAGACATAGGAGTTGGCAGAGAGTTCATGAACAAAAACCAAACTGCGCGGGAAATACTTCAAAGAATCAACAACTGGGATCTCATCTTATTGAAAAGTTTTTGCACATCAAAAGAAATCACCAACAGAGTAAAAAGAAAACCCATGAATTGTGAAAAAATTTTAGCCAACAGCCCCTCAAAGGACTTCTATGTAGAACATAAAAAGAATTGTAAAAAGTCAGGCCTCCATAATTCAAAAACCCAGTCCAGAAATGGGCATCTGAAATGGATACACCCTTCTCAGATGAAGAAATACTAAAGATGAATAAATATATGAAAAAATGTTCTCCATCATTGGTCATCTGAGAAATGCAAATTAAAACAACACGGAGATTCCATCTCACCCCAGAAAGAATGGCTATCATCAAGAAATCAACCAATAACAAATGCTGGAGGAGCTATGGGGAAAAAGGAACATTTCTCCACTGTTGATGGGAGTGTAGACCGGTACAACCATTATGGAAATCAGTCTGGAGATTCCTCAAAAAACTAGAATTGGAGGTTCCACTTAACCAGTTATTTCCCTTCTGACTATTTTTCCAGAAGAACCAAAAACATATCACAGTGATATATGTGCACCTGTGTTTATAGCAGCACAATTTGTCGTAGCTAAATCTTGGAAAACAACCCAAATGTCCATCCACTGAAGAATGATAAAAAAGATGTAGTATTTGTATACAGTAATATATTACTCAGCTATAAAAAAGGCTTTTATAGGTAAATGGATGCAATTAGAGACTATACTCATAAGTGAAGTAAATCAGACCCACATGTGTAAACATCACATTGTCTCTCTAATGTAAGAACCTGAAAGAATAAATAAAATCCAAAAGGTACAATAGATACTGTGAAAGGGAGAGAAACTACTCAAAAGGAAGGAGCAACTAGGATGAACAAAAGGAAAAAAGAAGAAAGAAGGAAGGGAGATATATGTATGGATAGCTGGGATAATTATACCACTGATTTCTATTGGTTTATTGAAAGGAGCTGTTAATGCTTAAACTTTTTTCTTTTTAAGTTTTGACCAATTTCTCATGCTTATATCTGGTAATCTAAACAAGTAATTTGAAGACAACAATATGGAATATAACAGCCATTTTTGAAGTCCTGCCATCTTGTTTAGTGAAATACTGTATCATTTCTGATGTTTTTTATTTTTTATTCTGTTTAAAAATTTAAAAATAAATAAATAAATTCAAAGAAAGGTTAAAAAACAGAAAATGAAGATCAAAAAGAGAAACCAATGAAAATGAGAACAAGAATGAGGGTGAGGATGTCTCCACTTCAGTGTCTGTGTACACGTGTAGGCACAATATGTCTGTGCAGGTTGCAGCAGTGCTATTTTCTTCCACATGCTTCCGTGCAATTTTATAAATTTCCAATATATGTCCAACATATGTGTATATGCACATACATGTATGCACATATGTATATTTACATTTGAGTTTCTATTTTTACATTTTTCTGCAACTTATTGTTTTTATTTTTCAAAAAGCTTAACTTGAGCTATTTTAGTAGAAATATAGACAAATTATGGCATGAAAGGAATGGAAATTCATGGCTACAAAACTCTGAGATGAATCTTAATTCAAAAGCATGATCACTTAGAACATAGTGAGAATCAACAAATACACAAAGATTCTGCATTAATTTGGACCTTTGAATCTTTGACCCAATACTCCAGAGCTTGAAGGAATCATTCAGCTATTTATCTTTAAACAACAGTCTCCTACACAGCTCAGGAAATGTTTGAAGAACCTTCTGTGCTAGGTTCTGAGACTACAGAAGTGCACAGGGCGGACAGCCCCACTCTCATGGGGTTGCGTCTATCTAGGGAAAGAGATTTCCATAAAGTGAGTTGTGAATGCACTGAGAATCCTCTCAAATCACTTTGATTTAGCAAACTGCCCTCTCACAGTGATTGAACGACTTCCTGAAATGATGCACACGAAGGTTCTGGCACTGTGCTCAACACAGCATATATCCAATGAATTGGAGTTCCCAGCCCCTTGGCCCTGCAGGTGTCCTGGATTTTAAAGGCTGGTGAGGGCAGAGACTGATCTTCTCGAATTCCACCACAGTGCTTGTGCTCACATGGGGTTAGTGAGTGACTGAACTGACCCTGCCAAAGCTTAATGACACAATAATGTAGGGAACTACATGCTCTGGACGGACCTCGCTGGCCGACTACAATCTCATGGAGACAAGTGCAGTGCTGAAGGCAGTACTGAAGGGCGGACCATTGGGAAGACCCTGGGTAGGAGGAGAAAGAACTCTCTCTCCGCACCTCCCAACTGAAAATCTGTGAGTTCTACATGCCAGTGTCCCTCCTGGGTAAGCAGGTTCTGAAGTCCTAGCTTCCCTCTCAAAGTAGTAAAATTTGATAACGTAAATGGAAGTGCTCAGAAAGTTACAAAATATAACACAAGGGTGAGGAAAGATCATTAGGTCATCTTGACACTTGAACCCCTTACTGTCCAGTTCTGCCCCACTGACTCTCTCCGAGCCTCTTCTCCCAAGAGGGCCCAGAGAAAGATACTCAAGGCAAAGCAGAGGACAGCAGATTCGATGTCCTGGAAAATCGGCTGGCTGACTGCCAGGATGCCTCTCACCTGACCCTTACTTTATTAAACCCTGCAAATGCAGGCTGTGACTCTCAGACTGTGACTCCACAAACTGAACTGTGACAGTTTTGCACGGTTGACTATGGTGAGGTTGGTAATTCAGGCTCACATGAGGGCATCAGCTGGGGCCTACGTTCACAGTCAGAAACTAGCACTGTTGAGCTCTCTCTTTCCACTGCACATTCTCTCCCAGTGGAGAAGCTTTGTGGAAGCCAATCTACAAGACCCCAGAGACACAGCTCTGGATCTCTCCTAGTGAGCTGGTGGGGGATGTTTCACGACACCAGTGCACCTGTGTCCATGACAGGATGCGCCTGTCTGGGGAGAATGGGTGTTTCCATATCTGACCTCATGCTCTCTCCTCTGCCTGTGCCTCTGCTTCCCTGGCCGGCATCCCCTCTGAATGACACATCTTCTCTTCAGACAAGGTAATGCCTTAATGAGGTCTCAGCCCTGTCCTACCAGTGCAGAGAATATTCTTTCTCTTTCGCACAACTTTGTCTATTTCTGATCTATCAAACTTAAATTGTTTGCTGTGTAGTTTAATTCTGGTGTGGCCATCTATTTCCTTTGTTCTTGTATTCTCATCACAGGACAGCCTCTGAGGAGTCCCAGAGCAGGGACAGGGACCTTGGCTCACTCCCCTCATGCAGCAGGTTGTAGGCCTGCTGACACCCATCATAGAAAAAGAATTGTCAGGAACTATTGGTCAAAGGCATAAAAGGATTAGTTGGCAGCACTTGAGAGGTACACACTCAAAGAAATAGAGCGCAGCCCTTGAGAGAGATAGAACGCCAGACACACTGAGATCTGGAGCTGGGTCTATTGGCAGGGACCAGGGGTGGGGTGCTCTGTAGAACTTGTGAAGCCGTGGGAAAAAGCAGGTTCGATGAAGAGTGAAACCTGATGGGTCCTTCTGCAGGGAATAATGACGGCCTGTTCTAGGAGCTGGAGCTGGAGCCCTCCATAGGAAAAGGTCCATTCTGCAGGAGAAAGAGAAGTCTGTTTCAGGTGGAAAGGCCAATTCATAGGTAAAAGGGATGGCCCAGTCCTACTGTGTGTTTATGGACCTTGGATGTTTTGGCTTGGTGTGTGTCCTGAGCCTGCTGTTTTTTAGTAAAAGCTAAATTTTAAAACCATTATTTTTCTTGTCCCTTTCTTCTTAACCTATTTTTCTTATCCTACCTCATTCTTAGAGGACATTCCATTGTTATCCCATCTCTTACTGACCAAAAAACCTCCTAATTCGACAGCCTTTCTGGGACTCGTTCTCTTCTCTGTGTGGAGGACAGTGTTCCTCTAGCCTTCAGGAGGTGGCACCAGCATCACCTCTTGCCCCTGTAGAATAACCACATCCTCTCAACAAATCACCTTCCCCATTGAGTGTGAACACAATATGAAGGTGATTTCTGGCTGTGGGCAGCCAGCTCCAGTGATGGAAGCCTAGGCAAGCAGATTCCAGTTCTGCCAGGGCAGCATGTGGCTGGATCACACACTCTTCTGAGAAGACTCCTGCAAGATGCTGGAAGAATGGTTCTGTTCCCTGCATTTTGGGTTCCAGATATGTATATGTGTGTGTGTGTGTGTGTGTGTGTGTGTGTGTGTGTAATCTACCTAGATAATAGAGGACAGATAGATACATATATACATACATACACAGATAGATGATAGATAGATACATAGATAGATAGATAGGTAGATAGATAGATAGATAGATGATAAATAGACAGACAGATTTGTCCTTCATTGCCCTCATTCCTAAACTTGTTCTTCCTACTTTCTTTTCCTAAGGCTCAAAATCCTGCCATTGAATCAACTTGGTTATATGAAGCAAGCTTATATGAACTGTCCCACTCAGCAGAGATTTTACTACTTGCTACTAAGAATATTTTTTGTCTCTACAAATAGATGATAAGCAGTAAAAAGAAAATTTCATCAGCTCCTCCAAGCTAACGCACTGTGCATAAAGGCATGCAACAGGTTTGTATAATTGAGCTATTGTGTGTTAGGTATTCGGCAACTCTAGTTGAGTTAAACTTAATTGAAATGAATTTAGCAGACCTTTCTCAGAACCACAGCAACAGTAAAACTATCATGGTCACAGGATGAGATTCGGGATTCTTGGCAGATAAGATTTCATCAACTTCTTATTTAAAAAAATAATGTCTCTCTGTGTTAGTGGGAGTCTGGCAAGTAACCACAAGCAAAATGTTCAAAACTAACTCCCTATGTCTGTAGATGGCACGTCATTGTCAAGAGGCCATCATGGGCTGCATGGTTAGTTGGGGCCTCTGACTTAATTACAGACTGAATCCATCACAGTACTGGTTTGCAGAATCAGATGGAGGAACACATACGAAACAGCAGCTGCAAATACAGTGTGGGTTGGGATTTTTCTTTCTGAAGCTCAGGGGAAAATCTGCTCTCTTGCAGTGTTACAGGCTTTCTACGGTACCTCTTTTATCCAAAAGTAGATAAACGCTACTTGGCAGTTGTGCAAATCCGTTAAACAAAAGTTAGAGATTGCAATTGTGTTTCTAGGAAACTCTTCCTCCTAAGCAGCCTATTGAATAAGACAAAAGTGAATGGGCTTTGATTTTTTAAAACAGCAAGCATTAATGTGCCTCAGAAGTGTAACAAAACCTCATGTGCGCTAACTCTGTCAAGCAGCATTTTTAACCTACTCCTTGGAATAAATGCTATTAGAAACCCCGAGTTAATGTTAATGGCAGATCTGGACTACATCAGTAAAGAACACAGACCTATCCTTCTGCTAAGACACAAAAACCAGGTACATAGCATCTCAGCCATATTTCAGTCTTGACCCATTGTGCCAGGTGTCAAATCCTGCCAGTCACTCATATCATTGTATAGCTGCTGCTGCTACTTCTGCTAAATCTAGGACTTTCCCCAACTTTGCTGAATACTCAAATGTATATGGGCATCCATTACTTAACCACAGACACCATTTGGATAAGCACCGTGAAATAGTTTTATCACATGTGAACATCACAGAGTTGACTTACCCAAGCTCAGAGAGCTAAGCAGTCACTAGGCAATCTGGTCCCATGAGACCACTGTGGTAGATGGGCTGCGTGGTTGCCACATGTTACTACTTTCTTCAAGGTGACCCTTGGCCGTCTGATGAAACCTGCAGTGAGGAAGATGAGATTCAACTAAATGGGATTTTTACCTGCCTCACAAAAATTAGAAAAATTAAATACAGAAAGTCAAAAGTAAATATTTTAGTGTAAAATATAGGTGAGCTCATTTCTGACCTTAAGGTAGAAAAAAGATGTTTTAATTTCTTAAAACACAAAATGTACCAATGAAGTTAGAAAAAGTCAACGAATTTAATTATACTAAAATTAACATCACTTGCTAATCAGAAAAAACATTAAAGTGCAAATACATGTAATGAATTGGGAAAAGATATTTCAACACATGTAAGTAATAAGATATTAATAATAAAGTACTTGGAAATCATAAGGAAAGAATAAAAACACAGTAAAAATAATTAAAAGGCACGAACAAATATTTCCAGGTAAAGAAAACACATGGCCAACAAAAACAAAGAAATAGCAAGTTTCAACAGATATCCGGTAAATTTAACAACATAAGACGCTCATTTAATCAACAAAATAATAAAGAGCTGATAATGTTGGATCACACTAAGTTGTTGAAGAGAACGCAGGTGAAAGGGGTTGAGAGACAAAGACTCTTACCAAAATGATCTGCTGTAAGTTGACACCTCAGAAAAGGAATTGACCTCTTGCCCAGCTCCATGGAAACCACCTCTGTCCAAATGCCTAGGAAGTTGATCCCAGTGAACCATCAGGCTTAAACCAAGCCCCCTGCCTTGCCACAAGGTACGCTGGAGCCTCCTGAAACATGGACATGTGCGTCAGGTGTCAAATCCTGCCATTCACTCCTATCACCGTTTAGCAGCAGCTGCTGCTGCTAAATCTGGGAGCTAACCTCCCCTTGCCATTTCTGCAAAGGAGAGACAGCCCCACTCTCAGCGGAAAAGAATCACCCAGCAGCGTGGGGATGCACTCACAGTTCCACTGTGTACTCTGCCATTTTTCTCTGGGCTCATTACACCAGGAAAGGAGCTGGAAGTGATACAGGAAAATAAAAACTCCCAACCCGAACGATATCCGGGATGAGTTTGTGTTCTCTAAAATCGATGAATGAATTTTAGGAACAATGGAGGTTAAGAGCAGAATATATTTATTGAGGGTAAGAAAGCTTCTGTCCAAGAGGGACAGGAGGGGGCCCAGGTGGGTTGCCCAAGACTCTGTCTTTTCTAAGGACTTCTACAGAGCAAAACCACAGGGTGAGGCAGGTCCAAGACAGGGGGAAAATGGACAAAACTATGGTCAGCCAATAAGAATTGTTCAGGTAAAATTGATTAAATCAGGAACAAATGGGGAAAAGAGTCACGTAGCAAGTGGGCATGAATACAGAACAGCGGCTCTTCCTGTAGGAGGCTGGGCTAGTGAGTCTTTCTGGCTTTTTGAAGGTGGTTCTTACCTATTTAGAATATCAATCCCTGATGTTTACACCTAGGGAGGTATGTGGATGCATTTGTTTAGTCCTTTTGTCTTGAGGTCTGGCCCACACAAGGTATCTTATCTTGTCTTTCATGTTGGCTCCTTCAAGGGCCTGGCCCTGTCTGACTGCCTATAACATTTCTATCTAACTCAGCTGCCTATAACAGAACGACCTAAACCATTCAGATTAAAAGCTCCACATACACAGAGCCAGGGTCTCCCCCTGTTGTGTAACCTCTGGCTCTGCTAAGCAACTGACTCCCCCACGACTGAAGGATACTTCCAAGAAATAGTCTTTCACACTGGGTGCTGAGTCCACAAGTGATTGTTGCCTTGTAGATATAAATTAATAAAATCAAATAGATAAACAATAAAGTAAGTGAGATTATTCACGATGCAGTGCATGTTCAGTTTAGGTCTAAAATATCCTCCAAAAATCTTATTTTTCAAGATGGGGCTTGTAGAAGATTGGACAGTGGAGATGTTATACTCATCACTGGATTCATTCACTGATAAGTTCATAACTAACTTTGCTCTAGGGGGTGCAGCCCAGTTGGAGGTGGGACCTGGGATGGGACCTGGAAGGTGTTACTCTGAACTTCTCCCTCCTCTCTCTGTTTCCTGATTCCTGTGAGGTGAGCAGCTTTCCTTCACCACGCCCTTCCACCATGACGTTCCTGCCTTGGAGCCAGCTCACCATGGACTGAGTCCCCCAAAACTGTAAGCCAAATTAAACCTCTCCTCTTTTAAACTGTGAGTGTCAGATTAGTCTCAGCTAGTATAGAAGGATACCTTACAACTAAAGACTATAATCAATCGAATCTTGCACTTCTGCTTTCAAAAGAAAAACTGGCTTTATAACTTTAACTTAGGTGATTCACATACCTTATCTAAAATCCTAATGATGATTTGTGATGCAGTGAGAAGACTCTGCCCTTTGTGGGCTAACCAATTCGTACAGATATGGGAGGGCTAAGCTGGGCATCTTTGCTAGGCAAACTAATCTGGAGCCAGACCCCCTCTGTCAGGCCCATACACCTCAGTAGACAAAATTCCTCAGCCTGCATCACCCAGAGGCAGGTACCAGGCAACCCTGAACATTAGGGCTGATGACCCTACTGCAGTCATTGTGCCAGCCACCCCTAACATGTTTACCTGCCCTGCTTCCCTCGCCCGCAGAAACTCCAGAAAGAACATAGCCTGAGCTCTCCTTTGCTCCTGTCTGTGTCTTCTGGCTGACATATACCCTCTCCTGCATGACCAACTGGCACACCAGGCTTGCTGTTTCCAGGACCTCTGAGTGTAATAAACTGTCTTCCTGAGTCCTGCTATGTCTCCTGCCACACCCTCGACCATCACAGAAAAGACACAGCAAGTGGGCAACAAATATCCTCATTCCCCATGAAATAACAGGCTCAGAGAGGCTCAGTTCACAGCTCAATACCAAGTATCAAGTGAGAAATAAGCACCAAATTTGGACCTAAATCTGTCTGGCTATGTGCTTTGAATAAGCTGGCCTGTAGTAAGAGCCCCAAACATTCAGTGGTTTAACACAATAGAAAATCACTCCCATTTACCTGGAAGCCCAGAGCACCTTGCTTAGTCAACAGGGTGGCTTTCTTTTCTGTGCTCTCAGTAGGACCCAGGTCCCACTTTGGCAGCTCTATGCCCCTCTCCTAGATTCTTATCATTGTGTGCAGCAAAGACTACAGAACTCTCACTGAGGAGAGTTGTACAGGCCAGGCTTGGGACCCGCAGTATTTCTACTTTCATTTCCTCGGACAGAACTTCTTGTCCCTTTTCATGCACGTGTGTACTTGGAGGAAAAGTCACAGCAGTCGGGGAGAAGTGAATTTCAGTGAACAGCTGGTGGCTTCCATCCCAGGATCTTTGCAATGTAACAAGATGCATGCTGTGATGACAAATGACAAATGACAAAGGTCAAAAGTGACTTTGGACATCATGCAAGGCAAGTCAGGAACAGCAGACCCTGAGATGCCCGGGCATTCATGCCCCTGGACTAATGCCCTGACTTAGCTAGAGGATGAAAAGCACATTCCAAACCACGCTGTGTGCGGTACTTCCTGACGGTGCTGGAATCCGTGGGTGCCCGATGAGCAGATGCATCACACAGAGCTGACCATCTTTCAACTGGGACTGCACAGGAGGGAGGAGGTGTGCTGGTGTAGTGTGTGTGGCCTTTGGAATGAGTGCAGAGAAATAATGAAATACAGAAACAATCAGTGCGTTTCACTCGCTGTCCAAAATCATCTTTCCTTGGCCTCGCTTCAAAGATGTCGCACTTTTATTTGCTCTTTATTTTGATCAGTCATTAGAGTCCAACGCATTCAAGAGTAACCAGTATGATTACCAGATTCTTTAGAAATATCACTTGTAGAAAGACAGAGCTATTCGATAAAAATTAAAATTTTCTGCATTAGAGTAACTAAGCTGCTAGGGGACTTTGGCAAATATTCCCCAGCTAGGCATAAACCACGTGACATTTGGACTTAGTTACCTTCTTTCAAGTTTTTTTAAAAAACAACAACTATTTATGAAGAACCTACTGTATATTAATAGTTTTATATAGATTATATCATTTACCTACAATGAGGCTATGAGATATGCCATTATTAGATGCCCAGTTTTCAGATGAAGATAAGGGATTTAGAGAATTCAAGACTCCTGAGGTCATAGCATGAGGCAGCAGAATTAGGATTATAAGACAGCTCTCCCTGGCTCCTATGTCTGAATTCTTCTTCATTTTGATGAGCAAGCACATGTCTACTGAGAGTCAGTAGTGCTGCTCACAGTATGTCAAGAAGAATTGTGGTTTCTCAGTCTCATTTTTGTCTGTCGGGAAGGCTGCTGTTGTACGACTTTCTATATCAGGGTGGTTACAATTTCCCACCCTATTTTGCCCTACTAAAGCATGAGGCTCCTAGACTACTAATATAAGTGATTAAGATGTTCTCTTAGCCTGGCACTGGGGGAATAATGCTTGTACCCGGTTGCCATTGGTTTAAAAAGTATGAAAGTGCACATTTCTAACCAGGACAGGCCCTCACCAGAACTCCCAAATTACTCCCAGCAGGTACAGCAGTTTTCCTAATAGGATGGCTGCTCTTGACTGAAAAACCCAATTTTCTGTCCCCTAAGCAATAGACACGTTAGCTGGAGCTTCTCATGGTTCCTTTTACTAGCCTTGGGATTCCACACTAGTGATAAAGAAGGGGTAAATACCCCACATTTTGAAAAGAGCAGAAAGCTAAGACAGAGTCCACATAAGGCTCCTAAACAAAGCAGGGAACCAGCTCTTCCCACTCCAGCCAGGTCGCTGCTACTTGAATCATCTTCCCCTCTCCCCCTCCTCCACCTCCTGCCTGAGAAAAGAGAAGGTGACTTAGTGGGTGGGTGTGGGGGACAGAGGCTTTGGCTTAGTAAAGGTGCTATCCCTTCTCCTTAGCCCCTGCTCCTGGGGGTAGAGAGCGATGCGCCTTTGCAGTGCAAGTGGGGAATGTTCAGAGACCACGGACGAGCCTGGGCGCCCTCCCAGCTGGCCTGTGCCCAGGTGGCCCCGCTAATCTGCCTTCGAGGCCCATGTGAGCAGAAAGAGTGTGGAGGGAAGCAGAGGTTCGGAGAAAGGGACAGAAGGGTGAGCCCTGGCAAAGGGATGTGAGGCTTTCAACGTGCAAATTGCAATTGGTAGTCAAGCAGGAAATACCTTGCTGGGAATGCACCCAAAAAGCCAGTACCTAGGAAGATGTGAGGAGTATGAGGGGACTGTGGAAGGGACTTTCTGGGACACAAGCTGGAAGGACTTAAGGACACAGAGCACGGGAGACTGTCCCCTAGAAAACAATGGCCCACCTCTCCTGCCTTGTAGCTATCTTCCTGAAAAGGGTAAAGACCTCTTATCCCAGAGAACCATGCAGACCCATGTTTACAGCAGCACAACTCACAATAGCTAAATCTTGGAAGTAGCCTTCACATCCATCCGCAGATGAACGGATAAAGAGACTGTGGTACGCACACACAGTGGAGCACCGCTCTGCCATAAAGAAGGGTAAACTTGAGTCATGTGTAGGATAACGGGTGCACCTTGAGACTCAACATGTAGATATATAAGAAACCCAAAATATAAATCAAGATCAAAATAAAAGGTGGATAGTAGGAAACAGGAAGATAAATCTTTTGCAAAAGAGAAGGGGAACAAGAGATGGGGGGTGGGGTAAGAGGAGAGAGAGGAAGCAAATGAAAATGTGATATTAACGTGCATTAATTCCTTCTGATGAATGTGATCATTTTATGTACTGTAAACATGGCCT